CGATCCGATCGTGCGGTGACAAAAATCGATTGATCGATCTCCGACGGCATCGATTGAACCAAAACAAAATTTCACAGCTAATACCTTCATTACTTTCGGTCCTCGGTCGTTCCTAACTTTTGATCAAGACTGATCGGCTGAATACATTTGTTTAAATGATTGAAAAATTCAAATACTAAGTAATAAATATAGAATAAAGAATTGCGGGCCAGGAAGGAACTTAGCTACAGTCCGGGAGTATTGGAATTAAAAAAATATTCTGTCGGGCCCCAACGATTGCTTTACCTTGTATTGTTAAAAGTTAGTAGTAGGTAATTAGAATGATAATTTTTCGACTGTTCTAACAACCATTCAAATTTCGTCATTTTGTGTCATGTGGAACAATTTCACCCAATTATGTCAACATTAGACTGATAATTGCATTCAGTGCAATTTTCAATCCCTATGACAACACGATCGAGTTTGACAACTTCATCCAAATAAATTTCAAAATGTCACGTTTTGGCAAATTTAATGTTAACTTAAATTTTAATAATTGTACCTACTTTCACTAACTGTACTTTTAATAAATAAATGTTTCGTTATGTTGAGTTATGATTTTTTTTTTTCGAAAAATTATCCGCCGAATATCCCTCGGACATTGATGAATGCCTCATAGTTTCATGACAAATTTCTCAAACTCGTTGCTTGGTAACAGTACTCAGCCTTCGGCTTCGTGCTGTTACCAAGGAACGAGCTTTCGATTGTCATGAAATTATCTCGTCTGTTATCAATGTCCTAGGGATTTTACTACTGATAAAATATCAATTTGTACGCCTTTTAAACAAAACTAGGGCGACACCAAACGTTTAAATGACACTTAAGAACCTAAAAACAAAATAAATTCTAGCTTGAATCTTTTCTTAAGAATCTGTACGAACTTAAATGTTATGAAATATATTTATTTAGGTGATAAAAGTAAACGTAATATTCCAATAATTTAAGTGAAGTTAAACACACATATGAAATACCGTAAGCAATGTTCTCTCTGGGTTTTCAGTCGATTCTGCCCAATCAATGGATTACTCGTTATTTTTTTAAAACGACAACGAGAAGTATTGAAACGAACGAACGATTATTCGATTGTATTCGGAGTCGGTCACTGATTTATTTGGTCCTCGTAAAATAAACGATTGACATAACACTACACCAAACGTTGTAGGATGCTATATACAGCTATCCCCAGACTAACAACGCGTACAATACAGTCAGTGCCGCAATACCGCTAGTGAGAGATGGGGTTGGACTATGCCATTTGGATCAACTTGAAGAGAATGATTATCCTCTTTAGACCGTCTTTTCCAAAAGTCGGTCGGTTAAAAGATTAAAATCCCAGTTACTAGAAAGAGCCTCAGCAGCAGATTGAGTTAGTTTAATGATTTTATTGCTGGCTAAATCAAAGAAATGACAGGTTCTAGAAAGCGTACAAAAACGAATATCCTTAAAAATGATAAAGGGGATATTATTACTGATATGAAGGAGAGATTATGTCACTGGACCAATTACATTCAACAACTATTTAATGATGAAAGAGAAGAACTGTCATTAGAAATCACCGAGGATACCGGACCACCAATATTAAGAGAAGAAGTCATCTATGCCATCAAAAACACAAAGGAGGGTAAAGCTACTGAACTAGATGAGATGCCCATCGAATTATTAAAACTCATCGATGAAGATGTTATTGATGTAATGGTTGAACTCTTTAATCTAATATACCAGACTGCCACAATCCCCAGACAATGGCTACAATCAACCTTTGTAGCAATTCCCAAAAAACCAAGTTCAACAACTTGCTCAGACCACAGAACAATAGCTTTAATGAGTCACATACTTAAAACATTTTTGAAAATAATTCACAGCAGAATTGTTAAAACTCTTGAATATGAGATTAGTGACAGACAATTTGGCTTTAGAAATGGTATGAGTACAAGAGATGCTTTGTTCAGCTTGAATGTGCTGTCTCAGAGATGCATGGACATGAATCAGGATATGTACTTATGTTTTGTAGACTTTGAAAAGGCATTTGATAAAGTTCAACATAAAAAGCTTGTAGATATATTAAAAAGCAAAAATATTGACAGTATCTGAAAATTATATCTAATTTATATTGGAATTAAACTGCCAAGGTAAGAGTTGACAGCCAGTATACCGAAAATATCAAAATACAGAGAGGAGTCCGCCAGGGCTGCGTGCTGTCCTCACTACTTTTCAATATCTACAGTGAAGCAGTATTTCAATCTGTCCTCCGCAATGCTGTCCTCCGCAATTAACGCTAAATGTGATAATATTCTTAACAGTGGAAGGTAACGTTTCAATATATTTAAGTAAACAGGATGCCACTTCCTTGCAACCTCGACCTCCCTGCCCCTCATGCCACATAAACATTGTGGCCTTACCACTTTTTAAGTCGTGGACGCAAAAATTGTATGTATCGTTACATCATCCTTGAAACGAGTTATAGCTTCAGTTTTTAATGTTTTAGCAGCTTCAGCTCTCCTCAGATGCAGCTCCTTTTCAACTTTATATGTATTAACACCATCTGTTGTATTATTAATCAGATTTTCCAATCGATCACATATTGTGCAAGTATCAGTGTGGGGTTAAAGAGAGCTTATGAAAATGGGCAAATAGAAGAAATGGAACAAAATTTCAAAAAGAAAAACGAAATTAGAGGAGCTTACGAATACCTAAAAAAGATAAAAAGTGGATATAAACCTCAAACAAGCCTATGGAAAGATGAAAGTGGGCAAATAATCAGTGACCAACAGAAAGTCACAGAAACCTGGAAGCATTATTTTCAGACCCTACTTGGAACACAAGTAGATATGGAAGATGAAATGGGTACGAACCATGTAGAAGAGAACGAAGTTGAAGTAGAAGCTCCAACCATAGAGGAAGTTCTCGAAGCTATTAAGGCCCAGAAAAACAATAAAGCCCCGGGAGTTGACGAGATTCCAGCAGAACTGTATAAGGTAGGTGGCAACCACCTATCAAGTCATATCCACGCGCTTATCAAAGAAATATGGCAAGAAGAGAAAATACCCGACGAATGGAAGAAAAGTATAGTATGCCCAATCTATAAAAAAGGAGACAAACTCCAATGCAAAAACTACCGTGGAATTTCTCTACTATGTACAGCGTATAAAGTCCTCACGTATATTATAAACCAGCGACTCCAACCACTAGCAGAAAATATTATTGGAGAATACCAGACGGGCTTCAGACGGGGAAGATCGACAATGGATCAAATATTTACAGTTAAGCAGGTCTTGAGCAAATCGTGGGAACACGACATTGATGTTCACAACGTGTTTGTAGACTTCAAACAGGCATACGATTCAGTCAAAAGGGACAGACTATACTATATATTGGCAGAATTAGCAATACCACATAAGCTAACTAGACTCATTAAAGCCACAATGGATGAAACTCAGGCATGTGTACGAATACAAAACAACCGGACAGACTTTTTCAAAATCTCGCAGGGACTAAAGCAGGGAGATGGGCTGGCACCAACATTGTTTAACCTGGCACTGGAGTATGCGGTCAGGCAAATGCAAACTGGACGAGAAAACCTACTGACCAATAAAACGGTTCAACTGGCTGCCTACGCCGATGATATTAATATTATGAGTAGAACATCAACAGGAGCACAGGAAGCATACGCAGAGTTAAAAACACAAACGAAAAGGCTAGGTCTGGAAATTAACACAGAAAAAACAAAAATAATGGTACAGACAAGAAGAAATATAATCCCACAAAACATTATACATGATGACATTGAAACGGTTGGAAAGTTTACATACCTGGGAGTAGAAATATATGCCGATGGAGCAGAGGATGGAGAAATACGAAAAAGGATAACGCAGGCAAACAAAGCTTATTTTGACCTCTCCCATATATTTCGGTCTAAAAGTGTCCACCGAAATACAAAGATGAGAATATATAAAACTTTAATTCGGCCAATAGCATGTTATGGCAGCGAAGCATGGGTCCTGAAAGAAACATCCAAAAACAAACTCGACACATTCGAAAGAAAAGTACTGAGGAGAATACTAGGACCTGTGAGGGAAAACGGAATCTTCAGAATTCGATATAACAACGAGCTCTATCAACTGTATAAGGAAACACCCCTGTCAAACTTCATTAGAATACAAAGATTGCAATGGGCCGGACATGTGATACGAATGGGAGAGGATAGGCTACCAAAACGAGCACTGAACGCCAGAATGCAGGGAAAGAGACCAGTTGGGAAGCCAAGAAAGCGCTGGGAAGACACAGTAAGCAGCGACAGACAAGGGTGGAGGCAAAAAATAAAGGAGGCCAAGGCTCATTTTGGGCTGTAGTGCCGTAGAAGAAGAAGAAGATCAGTGTGGGGTTGTTTAAATTTAATGTTGAAATGGTGATTAAATATATATCTGTAAAATGAATCTTTCACCGGTTCAGTGTTTCTCTTTTCACAAAATTCTTTGTATAGATCAACAAGTTTTCTAATATTCAAATTTGACGAAAGGTATTTTTGAGTTGGATAACGAGCTCTCGTGTAGTTACTGACATATTTTTTAAAACTGTCAATATGTTCTTTCACTAGATCAATTTTTTCCTGTGGGATTTTCTTTCCAGGCTGTTTCTATCCTCGTTGATCTTTTGGCGCCATATAAGAAGTTTTTCCTTTCTTTGCTACCACATTATCAATTTTTTTGTTTGATTCACCGAGAGTGTAGCGAAAAAACCTTTTGCACACCCTCTTAGCAGATAGAAAATACTCTGCAGTTACCTTCCTCTTTTTCACTGTATCTACTTTACGTTTTCTTACAGTATCTTTCAAACCAATTGCAGAAAACAAAAAAGATGTTTGTAAGTCATAGTTTCCCAGTTTCTAGTACTCATCAAATATCTCCTGGCGCTTTGTTTCAAAAATTTTTGTACAGCACTCAAATCTGCACTTGTGATCATACTTCTTTAATGTTCTAGCTGCGTGATGTTTTCCTTTACGATCAGTATTTTCTTTTCCGAAATTTCTCTCTCTATGCGCCTTAGATCTCTTCCACAATGCCTTTCTTCGAAACTTTTTCCTAAATTCCCGTGATCTCGAACAATCTTCCGCCAATATGATGGGATAAGCATCGCCAGTTGCAGTTCTATTGATAATCCCTTCGCTGTCACTTGAAGAATCTGTAACAAAAAGATAATTCTAAATAAAATTGATAATAAATAGAAATGCACTTTTAAGTTGCCCTGTATATGCGTTTATTATTTTTATAAATTATTGGTATCATCTGGGCATCTTTTTAAAAATTATTGCATAGAACCCATATATTTTAGTAAGTTAATGTGTTGTAGAGATGTCTCGAGCAGTATTTTATAAAAATTGTGTATTCTTACCATCATCCAAAGCAGCTGAAGTAGATGGGCCAAAATTCCATCTTCTCTTCCTTCCGTTTAGGTCCACATCATCACCAGGTTCATAAGTGTTATCTTTTTCGCTATCTGAAAATAAACAAAAAGTTTAGTTATTCTAAAGATTATAGGCCTCTCGTCTAAATAATAAAAACAGAATCTCCTTTTATGGATAAAACATTAACGAGTAAGTATAGAAATTAGTTTCATTTAAATTGCTGTTGCCGACAACTAAAAATAACTCCTTCAACTACTATCTATATACTTAGTACGATACTTAGTAGGCAAAAAAAGAATATAACACGAAAAAATTTAACGTTTAACTCTATATGTATACAACACTTTGATAATTATTTTTAACACAAAATGCTTTTAACTATCAAAAAAATACTTTTTCAGTACTTACCATCAGAGTAGAGGTTATGTTCGGCAATATCATTATCCGTATTCATTTGTAAACAGTTAACTACCTGTTGCTACTTAAAATAATGACACGGTATTTTCGATTATACTATATAGTACACTGAAAATACTAAAAAAACACTGCTTTGCTCTGAAAACTGTAATCAAACCAACCAGATCACACAAACACAAAATTGTTGCGCTAACAATAATAGTGCTGTTAAGTTGGATGCCAACGGAGATAAGTACTACACATAACTCCCTTGTCTTCTAAAAATATGTCCACCTTTATTGGCTTCCAAAGAAAACACATAATTTAGGAGTAGTTAAACTTTGCACCGCTAGATTTCGCTAACCGTTAGAGATTCATTTATATCCCTTGGCCACAACATTTTCTTATATTTAAACTACACGAGTCTACACTTAACTCAAAAACTTAAAAAATGTTACTTGTCCCCCTTAGCCTCTCGATGCCTCATTTTACATATAAAAATTCATATGTGTTTAATTTTTTAAATTTTTTTCCAATTTTTCTCTTTAGAAATATCATTAAATAGTTGCTTTTTATTTTCAGATAGAATAAAGCTCAGCCTGAAACTACACTAAATCATTAACCTCAACAATGTAATAAGAATCCGTCCATTTACTTCTTCGATTGCTCATCACTGCTCAAAATGACGCTTGAAGTGTGCAACTCTATGGAAACCATAGAACACTGTGATATTCAATTTAACTTTCAGGCTATGGAGCCCGATCAAGAAACGGAAATAGCTGCAGAAAACCTACAGAATATAAATAAGGAATTAATGTACCAGACTAGCACAACTGATGTAGACATTAATATGGAGTATCTACCGGCTGATATACAAAGCTGTGTGGAGATCGAGTCTAGTAATGTTATAAGTATATCAGAGAATCAAATAGTAGAAATACAATTTCAAAATGAGACTGGACTTATCAATACAGAGTATATAGTTAATAATAATATAATAGAAGCTGATAATATCATTAACCTTAAGGATGGTGTCTATGAAAAAATAATTCCGTATGATATCTACGATTCTGTAAAGTCTAGTACTGAATCTTTTGAAGTAATTCAACAAACAGAAGAGCCTAAGTTAAAATCCACAGAAATAATAACTCAAAGCATTATAAATATTCCTTTGTTGAGTCCTCAAAGCGAAAACGACGAACAAAACGAGACAGACCTGACCAGTTTGACCTGGTTGCACAATATCACTAACATTATGTCAGTTCCTAACATTCCTACTCCTCCTGTATCTCCCACTCCCAAACCAAAAAGAAAACACACTGGAAATCAAGAAGACTTAACGATTAACATTAACTATTATAAAAAGAATGGCGATAAAAAGCCACCGTTTTCATATGCAACTTTAATATGTATGGCAATGGGAAAAAACGGCAACAAAATGACTTTATCTGCTATTTATCACTGGATTAGGGAAAACTTTTTGTACTACAGGAAAGCTCATCCTAGCTGGCAGGTAAGTAGTTATTTCTTGATGGTAATTAGCCGTGGAAACTAAAACATTGTTTTTTTTTCAGAATTCAATAAGACACAACCTTTCTCTGAACAAATGTTTTGTCAAACATCCCCGATCAAAAGACCAGCCGGGTAAAGGAGGTTTTTGGAAACTGGATTTAGAACGACTTGAAGAATCTAGACGGTCAAAAAGAAGATCAAGTTTGACAGTAAGGTCACCAAGGAATCGACATGCCGATCAAAAAACTCAGAAACCGTTGCGGAAACCAAAAAGGTAAGCATTTATAGGAATATTAACTTCAATTTTAAGAAGTCAGTATTTGGTCTACCAGGAAATCGTACCAATATTCGATGAAATTAAGGTTACAATCAAATTCGCAAACAAACAAAATTATTAAGAAATGAACAAATAGTTTAATTGGAAACATATCAAGATCCCCTCTACAGAAAAACTGTTGAACACTATAAGAGAAAACCAATACAATATAGAACTACTCCAAGAACATGTCACACCGAGAGTGCAGTACGGCTAATATAGGAATGCACAATTGCCGGATTTTACGTCTTGTGCTTGGACCTGTGGGCGATACAAACAGGTCCAAGTGGTAGTCACAGAACCGTACCCAGATCTCTACGCCGGGCTCTGTTATTTATGATAAAATAATATATTGATAAAATAATTGCCTTCAAGTAGCCAAATAGGAGGCATGAATTTGAATAAAAAGACCTTAAGTTTTAAACGAGAATTTTATTATAAAACTGTACTTTATTAAACTAACAAATGTATTTTAAATTACATTTCTTGATAGCTATAAATATACCGGGTGGAACCTCCGGGAACTCGATTTCCGTGCACCCAGCCCAATATCCAAGAAAAACTCTTTCTTTTGTAAATATGTGAAAAATTATCAGGAACGGGAATATCGAAAAAGCTTTGCACATTTTTTAATCCCGGCGATGTTATTAAAAAAAAAACAAGTTGCGCACTTGAATCACTGCGAAATTTTAACACATACTATGAAATTTTTTTTGTGGAAATCTGGAGTGCAGTTTTTGTCCTTGTTAAAACATAATGCAGTCTCGCATTTTTTACACACAATATAAGTTTACCTACTTCCTTGGCATAGCAACCTGGTAGTTTTCAGCGAAACCTTGTGTTATTCCATATGGGATAATGGTTTTCCTTGCCCACACTTGACCAGATGAGCAGGTATAAGGTTTATAGTGTAAGTTATTTAACATTATATTATATTTATACTTTATTAAACTAACAAATATATTTTAAATTACATTTCTTAATAGCTATAAATATACAGGGTGGAACCTCCGGGAACTCGATTTCCGTGCACCAAGCCCAATATCCGAAAAGCCCATACTCTGATTGGACTGGTAAATGCATTTTATTGGTTATACAGTGTAAAATAATCGAGGTTACTCACATATATTCAATTAATTATACTAAAGTCGTCCTCTACATCCGAGATGTCGGATTCGCTTTCGCTACTCTCCCCTGTGTTCGCGTATATTATCAATTGGTCTACGTCATCTTGCAGTTTATCCGCAGTCCACATTTCAGTTTCCGTTTTCTCAACAACATGAGTGACATAATTGCGCCAATTTTGCTCTGTGACGAGTGCGAAACCGTCATCAATCAACTGGCGTACCTCGTCGTTTTTAAAAGTGGTATTATGGGTACCTACATATCGCTTAAATTGGTTCCACGCCATTTCTATAGGATTCAATTCGCAGGGATATGGAGGAAGCCTTACAATATAAACATTATGTTGTGAAGCATACTCATCAAGATTATACTTATCGTATTGATCTTTAAAAGCACGCGCTGCTTCTAATAGCTCGGATTTCAAATAATACTCCTCGAAAAAAATGTCTTTTTCCACTAGCCATTCCTTGATTGCAGCTTTATTAAAGGAATTGTTAGGAAATCTCTCTTTACGGGAGTGGTACGATGCATTGTCCATTACAATGACATTCCTGCCACCATTATTTGGTAAATTTGATATTAATGTCTCCTTAAACCACGACTCAAAATATGCGGCATCCATTTCATCGTGATAGTCGCCAACATTTTTCTTTGCCAGAAAAACACGCTGTGTGCCAGGAAGGAAATCTCCCGAAAAACCTGCATGCAATAAAACATATCGTGGACCTCGTTTAGTAGGTGCCAGTACTTAAACCTTTGAGAAAAGCATCACGACTGTTTTGTATCATAGTATCGCACCATTCGTAATTTATAGATTGGCTAACATTAACCCACAATTCGTCCAAATATATGATATTGCAATGGTCTTTTCGCAAACGTCGTATAGTTCTCAAATAATTATGGCGCCAATGAATAATATCCTCTCGCTCCACCATGATGCTTTTTCGGCCACGTTTCTTATAAACAAATCCAATATCTTTCAGAAGTCTGTATAAAGTAGAAAGAGACAACGGCTGTATATTCTCATTACCTTGTATGCAGTTATGTATATGCTTTAAGAATGGCGGCAAATTTTTCATGAAAAATTCACAATGAACAATTCTCCGTAGAATACTTGTCACACCCTCGTCATATGTGAATATTCTAGAATTTGATTGACACACTCGTTTTTTACGTTTTTTTTTTTTTGGCGATTTCAACGTTCCACTCTGTTCTTTTTCTTTTTTGAAATTGTAAATGCTTCTTTCGTTAACACCAGTCATCAACGAAGTATGTCTTACAGCAGCACTTATATACATTAAGTTGTTCCGTATTTTGTAAAAAACACAACACATTTAACACTACGAGTTTAAACGCAACCGTTAAATAATTCACCGGATTTAAACTTATGGGACTCCATGCTCTCTGTTGAAACTCGGACTAAATTTTGAAGTGTAGTTTCGTTTTCCAAAAGCACTTTCCTGAGGATGGGTAGGGTGTGAAATAGAGAAAGCTTTGAGTTTATCAAATACAAACAAGTTTATGGCCATATTAAGGTGATTATGTTAATAATCGTAATTTGTAGCAGAAGTTTTACAAAAGAAAAGAAGACCTATTTATAGAAACAACATAAGTGTATTTTTAATATTTTACATACAATAGAAAAAATCTAATTTCTTTGAAAGAATTGGAAATTTGAATATTATATATAATATCTATAAATAATGTAATATTTGCTGTATTTGATCTTGTGAAACAGCGCAAATTATGTTTTTACGTTTTTAACTCCTTCAATAAAAACATACAATTCACTGTTGAAATGGAGAAGAAAAATAGTGTACCATTTCTAGACACTAAAGTCATCCGTCAATCTGACAATCGTATCATACTAGACTGGTATCAAAAATCTACAGCATCTGGAAGATTTCTTAATTTCTCTTCCAACCACCCAAAAAGTCAAAAGTATAATACTGTGATTGCAATAAAAAACAGGATAGAACACATCCAAAAACAGAATAAGACCAAATTGTGTGATTTATTTCTTAACAACGGTTTTCCTAAGTCTATATTAAAACAACTAATATTCAATAGTACTGCAAATGACGGGCAAATAGACAAACCCCCCGAAGAAACCAAATATAAAAAACTACCATATATCCCTGGTCTAACAAATCAACTGACATCAATATTTAAGAGTTACACCAATACAACAATTAGTAAATACAGCAATTTTAAATGCAACAACTTATTTTCTAAAACCAAAGATTATACACCAATCATGTACAATAGTAACGTCATTTACAAATTGCAATGTTTAGGATGCCAGGGATGCTACATTGGTCAAACCGGACAATGGTTGAAATAACGGGTTACTCAACACAGAAGTGATTGCAGAAGGGGAAAAATACATGCGCTGTTGTCGAACATTCTATCAAGACAGGTCATGAATTTGATTTTGATAATGTAAAAATAATACAATCAGTCTCAAATTACAAAAATAGGCTGTTTCTCGAAATGTGCAATATAAGCAGGACATATACTGCTATTAACAACAAAACAGACGCTAACGGACTTAGTTCCATTTATTGTAACATCTTAAAATCTTTTTAATTTATAAAATATATTAGTTTCTGCACATCACTAATTAAATTGTAGGACAATTAAACAAAATCAGGTATTACAATATTTTAGTTGAATTTTAGATTGTCACTCATGAAGATGTGTTTGTGTTTTAATATTTTTAGTCTGTCACTCAAGATGTTGTGTTTGTGCTACGCTGTTTGAACGATTACATCTGTAAGTTCTTTTATGTTATGTTATTTTTTTTATTCTATCAATAAATAATTTTTTAGTGCGCTCTTGAAAAAGCCATAAACCAAATGGCGAAATATTGAGTTTACGAGAAAAAAATCGTTTTATTTTCTGACCAAAAAGCCTGATAATATAAATTTATTTTAATTATTTGATGGTCGATAACGAAAAACTAACTATATATATATATATATATATATATATATATATATATATATATATATATATATATATGAGTAAAATTTGATGTATACTTAAGATTTTCAGAAATATAGTTTTGTCATAATTCCAGTTTTTAATTTTTAGATGTTTTTTTTTTCACAAAAAGTCCTTACTTAAAAATATTTTTTTCATAAATAAATAAATTTATAATTATGTTGTCTCGTTTAGTATATTGCTTAAAGGTGTACTTTGTTTATAAAAAAAACATACGTGTTGGTTTTTAAAAATCTAGATGTGGGAATCATTTAAAACTTGTAAACACCTATAACTCAGAAATATAAATATGTGACATAACCACTTTTTGCACTGAAACCTTCAATTATAGGGATTTGTTAAATGTTTCACGTAATATTATTTCACTTCGATTAAAGGTCTTGATGACCACAGAAACTGTTTTATATTTTTTATTCTTATATTTACGTATTTATTTTTTCCTCAGGTATCGATCAAATCAAAACACTGGCGAAAGAAAACACAATATTCTCTCCAACATATCTATTTGCGGAGATACCGACATCGACAACTTCGAAGATGAAAAGAAAAAGAAAGAAAACAAACCGGAAAAACGATTGCAAAAAGAAGTGTCCCTTCTACCGAAACTGGATGAAGTAGAAGATGAATCTCACAAAGAAGATGAAACCAATGACTTTGTACCAAGCTCCATGCCAAACCAGTCAGTGGTGACAGAACCAGTCAATCAGATGCTAGCTGAAGACGAATTAACTGGGTTGCTGCTGGCGACGAACGGCTGGGATGATTGTCAGTTAGAATTATTGGATTCTCTACTAGATTCCTTGTAATATTTTGTAGGGAAAAGTGTATAGTTAGATTTTATATGAAAAAGAAATGACGTGTAGTTTTTTACGAAAAATAAAAGGTTTACTAGAAGATTGAAAGATTCAATGAAAAATAATATAAAAATAGTATCTAAACTTATGAGCAACTTAATATAGAGATAATGTATTCAAATACCTTATTTTTAAAGCATCTGTTGATTTTTCTTTATCATTCTATTATGAAATTTCCAAAGCTAGTATGACTTTGGAATTCTTTTTAATTACTTTTCTGTCATTGGTATTTTCTCCTATATCTCTATTATTTACCTTACATAATCAAACGTCCAAAGTCGTCTGATATATTTAAGCAGACAATATAAATCTACTATTAAATTGATTTAGAATAAATAGATTCTTTTCATGAATAGTCCAGTTCGACAGAGACGAAAATGCCACTGAACCTCTAAAAATCATACAAACAAGCTAAATTTTGCTGAGAATATTAATTTTGAGACCCCAAAAAATATGAAACAAAGTTTACTACTTTTACCCCCGGGCTTCCCCCTAAAACGCCAACGCAGGTGGGTTAAAACGCAAAAAAATCGATTAATTCAGAATCTGTAGACCGTAGAAAAAAATGTTTGAAATAAAAAATGTGGCTGAGATAATTTTAAATAAAAATATTTATAAGCATTTATTTCTGTAGAATAAACCGTTCTCTTAGAAACAACGCTTGAAGTGACCGTCGATTTTGCATGTCAGTTACGCACGCAAAATCAATGTTCAATAAAATTTGTATGAAGATTTTCTTTGAAGATGATTTCAGCTTAATAGATCACACTGAAGTTTCAGATATGCACGTTGTAATGGACTTAGAAACCCACGTTACCAATGATGACAGGGCCCTTGATCAGTCGAGATGTGACGAAACTCTGCAGAGAACTCCACCGAGAAATACCGAACCCCAACCGGGACCATCGAGATGTGATGAAACTATACAGAGAACTCCATCTTATAATGCCCAATGTAATCAAACCAGCAAACTGCACCCCAGCCTGGAACGTCAGAAAATATTAAAACTCAGTCTAGTATACCCATTGAAAAGCTCTCCTCTTCCTTCCAAATTTATAAAGAAAAGTTCCAAATCACGTACAACACTTAGAAATTTTCACTTCCACGCCACTAAAAACGCAATTAGAAATAAAACCAGAAAAGAGAAATATTAAGAAAAAAGCTGAAGAGGCCAAAAAAAAATGAAACTAAGAAAAAAACGACAGGAACCGTAGGAAAACTGGCTAATAAAGCAAAGAAACGACCTGTACGCAAGAAAGCTGGAGTTAGAAACTTACATTTTGATGATTCTGAGTCTACAAGTTATGATAAGAGTAAACTTTGTGATGATGATGAATTAGATGATGTAGTTTTTTTTTTCAATTTTGTCTTTAAGAAATCTGTTTTGTTTACAATATTTGCTTTATTACAATTTTTTTTTTCGAATAAAGATTTATTTAATTCTGCGCAGAATTACCCGTTCTTGGGGGAATACCGCGCAATGACAGTTTTTTAAAGTAAATTTTTTTCTTCAAAATACGTTAAACTTTAATCCTATTTTTTATAGGAATAACGTTCCCAATAGATACAAGTTTCAATAGTTAAATTATGGAAGTTTGTTTGCACATAGGAAACTTTTTGTAAGTATTTTACCTTAGGTGCGTAGAATTCGCCCGGTTCCCCCTAAGCTTGAAGGTAAAAATTCGATATCTTTGGATCCAAGTGTCCAATCAATAAAAATCAAGATGCATTTTAAGGGAAAAGAGTGCAGCTTTTTGCAATTTTTGTATTTTGTCACAAATAAACTCAGATTTTCTACAGGTGTCAAATAAATAAACGTGCCGCAATTTTAGCCATTTTTTATGATTCTCACGAGATCAATACAATTGATCCCTTTTATTGACTGGACACTATGAAGTTTTGTGCTATCAAATGCCTCACATTTTTTGAACAAACGTGAGGCATTTGATATATGATATACGCTTAATAAAAGTACTACTTACACTAGTAAGTTTTTCAAAAGAACCAAAACTTCTACAATAATCTACACCTAAAACCATCTTCTTAAATGCATTTCCCGTGACGTGTGATTGTTTGAAATGTAAAACATTAAATTCTGCGTTTTTTATTCATATTTCAAATTTCATATTTGTTACCACTACTCAAAATTAAAATTTCATGTCATAGCTTTTAAAGACATCTCTAAACATGGAAATTTTACTACAACTCATTAATGAAAGTGATCAATTTTATTGATCTCGTGAGAATCATAAAAATGACAAAAATCGCGCCATGTTAAAAAAATTAAGTTTATTTTTGGCAAAATACAGAAAGTACATATGAAAGATGCATTTTTTGTCTTTAGAATACACCTTGATTTTTGTCGATAGGACATTTGGATCAAAAGATATCGAATTTGTAATGTTGAGCTGATATAAATTTTAGTGAACATTGATTTCGCGCGCGTAACTAACATGCAAAATCAACGGTCGCTTCAAGACTTGTTTCTAAGAGAACGATTCATTCTACACAAAAAATGCTAATAATCAATTTTATTTAAAATTATCTTAGCTACATTTTTTATTTGACACATTTTTTTCTAGGATGTACAGATTCTGAGTTAATTGATTTTTTTGCATTTTTACCTCCCTGTGAGGGGGTTTTAGGAGGAAGCGCAAGGGTAAAAGTAGTAAAGTCTTTTGCATCTTTTTTGGGGTTCCAAAATTATTATTCTCTGCAAAATGCAGCTTGTTTCTATGATTTTTATGGGTCAACTTTCTAACGACTGGAGTAAAAGTATTTATTTCTAATCTTTACTATGAATAATATAAAATGCTCTGGGCAGATTTATATACCTTTTAAGAGTCTACATATACCATCCGTTATAATCTACACAGATCGTCACATACAAAATTTAAAAAGCTTTAGTTTTATTTGTCTTCAAGCTCGATATTAAATTGTTCAAAAAAATATAAATATTCTACTACATTTTGCTGCTAAATTGATCAATAATCAAACTAAGTCATCTTTAGTTCGTATATGCTCAAATTAAAACAAATGTTTATTTGCTCAAAAAGAAACATTACAGCAATTTGCTCAAAGTTTTGATCATAAGTGAATTACTAATTTTGTTTTATTTCTAAAATTATGCGAATTTTGGAAATATATGAGCTTCTTTGTTAATTTACATGAATAGTGCTAAAATGTATTTAAGTACTTAAATAAGATTAATTAATTAAATATAAGAATAAGATTTCTATTCTTGTAGTCTAGAAGATCTCAAAAAAAAACTAATCTACAAAAAAGCTCGTGTACTCTCAAAATATGCATAACATAATTTTTATTAAGTAGGTATTTTTTAGCTCAATAATAATATTATTAACTCCATATTTATGATTCATAGAATTGAAAATCTTGCGACACAGTGTGTTTTTGTGCCTTTTCCAAACACGTGTGAAATTTCTCAAAAATTGTATATATATATATATATATATATATATATATATATATATATATATATATATATATATATATATATATATATGTTCGGAAAGATTTCCGTGGTTAGTACAATTAAACCTAGAGCTAAGATTAAACTATAAATTGAACCGCGTCGATATCCATTGGGCGCAATGAGAATCAACGTGGTTCAACCCGGAAGACTGGTGAGTTTAATATTAATTTTTATAATAGTATTAATCTTAGTTCTAGGTATAATATATATATATATATATATATATATATATATATATATATATAAATTTAAAATATATTCAATGATTGAATAGCAGAGGTTTTATCGGTCAATAATTGGCAAATGAAAGTCGTCAACTACTTTCATTAATTCAAATTGATTTATTTAAATACGTTTCGCTTTTATTTTTAAAATCATCATCAGTTCACTACAAATAAAACCGATTTTAAAATATAAGTAAACAACCAAAAGGGTTCATACTTACAAAAGCAATTTGTAGGTTTTTTTAATATATGTTATAAAAACTCTACGATAACTTAACATTAAAACTTAACAACTAAACGAGAGAAACGAAACAAAAAAAACACAAGAAAAACTGTAAGAGCACTATTGTTCATTTAATTTTGACCGATGACTTAATTTGAATGTTAGTTTGAGCTCTTTCGAGGGTCAAACCACACTAATCTCGTTGATTGTTTTCTATCAGTTGTAGAATGTCATAATTTACACGTATGGCTTGTGTCGCACATCTGTTTCTTTGGAAAGCACGGAGGTAGGATTATTAAGACTTGTGAGAGGGGACTTATTCATCTGTGTCCCCACAGATGAATAAGCCCCCTCTCACTCCTGAACAAACCATAAAATATGCTTCGCTCCCGTACTTCTTACAAATCACGAATAAGCTTAACAAACTTTTGAAAAACTTACCTGTCAAAATAACCTTAAAAATACCAGAACCGTAGAAAAGTTGTTTTCTAAGACTAAAATTCCATTGGCCCCTCTAGAACAAACTAACGTCGTCTATCAAGTACCCTGTGCAGAGTGCAACTCCTGCTCCATTGGCCAGACCAGCCGATCTCTTCAAGGTCGACTAACGTCCCACAAAAGCGACATTAGAATTTCAAAGACATCTTGTGCCTTTGCACAACATGCCATTTCAACTAAACACAGTATCGACTTAACGACGTATCGACGAATACTAAAATACTGTGCAAACAAAATAATTATCATAAGCGATCCATCCTTGAAATGTGTCAAATTCTAAAACATCCATCGTCCCTAAATAAAAGAACCGACATCGACAACTTGAGCAAGATATATCAATCTCTCTCCATACGTAACAAATAAAAAAACCACTTACAAGACAGTAACTTCATTCCCATTTTTCTTTTCTTTTTTTTTGTTTGTTTGTTTTTTTAAATAAAAAGAAAAAATGAATCCTTTTTTAAAGAAAAAGGTCTGTCCCCATTCTGTTCACTAATTCCCTTAATAATCGTAC